TCCTCCTCCTCCTCCTCTTCTTTTTCCTTTTCCTCTTCCTCTCCTTCCTCCTCCTCCTCCTCCTCCTTCTCCTTTTTTCTGGGCACAGAAGAAGGAAATCACAGGATTTCAGAACTGGAAGGGACCTCAGTGGCCACCTAATACAACTCATATGTGGAAAAAGAATTTCCTCTACTCTCAGGACCCTTAATGAGGGGGAACCCACCATCCCCTGAAGCAGCCTGTTATTCTTGTGGGTAGTTCTAATCGTTAGGAAGTTTCTCTTCACACCGAACATCAGTTTGCCCCTTTCCATCTCCCACACTTTCTTCCCGGTTGTGCTCAGTCGCCCACCCTTAGCCTCTGCTTCCCCAAGCCAAGACGGACAAGTCTTAACCCTTGTCTTCAGGGACTCCCTTAAGATACTTGAAGACAGTTCTCCAGCCCTGCCTAAGGCTTCTCTTGTGCACGGAAGCCATCTTCCTCCTTACAGAATCCTCTCTGATCCTCAAAGGGTGTGAATTTGAGGCCCTTCAACAGTCTCACTATCCTCTAGACACTTACCAGCTCAGGAGAGACATCTCCTGGTTTATCACTAAGACCATTCTCTCTAGAGGAGCCCAGAACTTCAACAGTGGAAGGGAGCTCAAAGGCAATAGAAGCTGTGAGAAACTAGCTGTGGTAGCTTTTGCCTCCTGGTGTCAGTTGTTCAGTCAGCAAGCATTTATTAAGCACATATCTCTTTTCTAAGATTTGTGCTAAGCCCTGGGGTTTCTAAGAAAAGCAAAAAACAGCCCCTGTCCTCAAGGAACTTATTGATAATGGGTAAGATCACGTGTAATCATTAGGGTTCTTCCTATGTCTATAAAGAGTAGACTGAAGGTCAGGTGAGAGGGGAGACACCAGCAGCCTGGGCTGGGCCGGGGAGCCAGAGAATAGTTAGAGGAGGTGAGGATAGAGTGTTCTAGATCTGGGGGACTGACCACCACTGCAAAGGCATAAGGAGGGACAGGGAGTCCTGTGTTTAAAGACTTGCATGGAGGCCAGGGCAGCTGGATTATAGAAGGTGGAAGAGAATAAAGTGTATGAAGACTAGACATGTAAGAAGGGACCCAGCTTAGGAAGCACTTCGAATGCCAAAGGATATTTTATTGGATCCTGGAGATAACAGGAAACCCCTGGAATTCATTGAGCAGGGGAGTGAGGTGGCTAGATTTTGCTTTTAGAAAGTCACCTTGGCCACTGATCCTTGGGACAAGAAGGTCAGTTAGGAGGCCATTGTCCAAGTGCCCAGGCTGAGTGGAGAGATGGGCTAGATATGAAGAATGTGGTTGGAGATGGAAACAAAATGAGCCAGGGCTAAGCTAAGGGGCAAGAATGACCCAGCTGTTTCCACTGCTCTGAACAAACCATCCTCCATCTCAACACAAGGCTTTTCTTTGGTGTACATGGTTTTAGACACATCACTACTTGGATCAAACAACTTCCCTGATTATCTCTTGGCTCAGGAGTCAGCTTCCGGCTCATCCTCCCAGCATGCAGGGTCTTGCCCAGCCTGCTTCCACCTCTAGGATGGGCTGGGTGCTTTCCCATCCCAATGCCATTTCTCAGGCTGCACCCTAGGCCTGGCTACCTCTTTGCTTTCTCCTCTCCTGTTGAATTCTTACCTATCTCAAAAATGTGAAGTCCTCTATGAAGGACCCTTCCCTAACTCCCTTCAGGACCACAGGGTTCTGGGTCTGATGACTCCAGAAGACTCTTCTCATAGAATATCATGATGTCCGGTTCCCCATCTTGGTATCTCATCTCCATGGTGTACTGTGAGTTCCTTGGGACCAGGGACTCTGTCCTGTTAATCTTGGTGTCTCTGCTGCCAGGAATAGTACTCTGAATACTTAATAAGCAAATACTTAATAAATGTTAGTTGTTGATTTGAAAAAAAAAAAAAACAAACACTGCTTGGGGCAACTCCAAGACCCTGTGAAAACCTCTGATACCGTCCTTGGCCAAAAGCCTCATCCAGCTTTCTACCAGGGGTGAGGAACCTGCAGCCTCGAGGCACATGTGGCCTTCTATGTCCTTGGGTGAGGCCTTTTGACTGAGTCCGAGTTTTACAGAACCAATCTTTTTATGAAGGGGATTTGTTCTGTGAAGTTTGGATTTGGTTAAAGGGCTGCACTTGAGGACCCAGAGGACCACATGTGGCCTTGAGGCTGCAGGTTCCCCACCCCTGTGAGACGTTACTTATGGACCTCCTTCATTGGAGGTCTTTCAGTAAAGGCTGGGTGATCCTTTGGCAGAGGTTTCATTTTCCATTATGGGCTGGATGAGGCAGCCTCTGGGATCCTGATTCTTTGTTCTGTAGTCAAGTCAGTGTGCATTTATTAAATGCCTGCTGTGTGCCAGGCACTGTGCTAAGCACTGGGGATACAAACAAAGACAGAAAACAGGCCCTGCTTTCAAGGAGCTCACAGTCTAATGGGAGAGTTGACATGTAAACAGCCAAATATGAGATGAACTGGGGAGAGTCTCAGAGGCAAGTCACTGGGGGGTCAGAAGGGGAGAGTCACTGGGGGGTCAGAAGGGGCTTGCGGAAAGTGGGCTTTGAGCTGAGACTTGAAAGAGAGCAGGGAAACCAGGAGAATTCTGGACTGGAGAACAAGCAAAGAAAAAGTCCAGTGTTGGACGAAGGGCCCTTTGGAGGAGGGACAGCCAGGAGGTCTGTGTCACAGGGTTGTACAGCGTAGGAAAGCACGTAGGTTGTAAGAAGGCTGGGAGGGAAGGAAGGGGTCAAGGGGTGAAGAATTTTAAGAGCCAAACATGGCAGGTAATGAGGAGTCCCTGGCGCTGATTGAGTAGGGGCGGGGTGACGTAGTCAAACCTGCCCTTTGGGAAGATCCCTTTGACAGCCGAGTGGAGGATGGCCTGGAGCAGGGGGAGACCCTCCAGCAGCTAGTGCAGTAGACCAAGCCTGACATGACACGGGTCTGTACCAGGCCGGTGACAGAAGATGTGGAGGGGAGTGTAAAAACTACAAGCCTTAGCAATGAGGAGGCCAGGCTAATGCTTGTGGGTCCAGCCCAGAGAACAGTGGTGCTCTCGACGATAAGAGGGAAGTCAGGAAGAGGGGAGGGGACAGAATGAATCTGTGGGCCATGGGGCAGTGGACCAAAGTATCCAAGACCAATGCCTGTCTGAGATAAAGAAGACATGTAGACATGCCCACTCCCCTCAACAAACCAATGCTCTGAGAAGAGGAAGACAAACCGAGAGACCATCCCAGCTAAGAAGGGAGGGTGTGTGACAGTACATGCTGTCACCTGTCAGAAGCTGATGCGCTCAGAGGAGACGTGAGCACATGGGGAAGCTTTCCCAGAGGAGGGCGAAGGGTCACAGCCGGTCACTGAGGATGAGGCATGAGATCAGAGAGGGCAAGAGTTGGCTAGCCTGTGCTCCCAGGCGCCACGGTGGGGGTGCATCCTGCATATTCAAGGGATAGCCCAGTGGTGGACCTGACTGAAGTATAGAGTGCCCCTCGATGGGAAGATGGGAAGGGTAGCTGGCCACGGTCTGGATTCTGTCCTGGGAGAAATGGAGAGTCTTTGCAGATGCTTAAGCAGTGGGTTAGAAAGTAAGATGGGGGCCAAGGAGAAACTCAGGAAGAAAAGGGGCCTTCTCAAGAGCACCTAGAGCAGACCAGGTATGAGGCGACTGCCCCACTAGTCTGGGAGAGGAGCCGAGGGGCTGGGCCCAGAGGAGGGAGCCGTGTCCATCACCCCCGAGGTGCGGGCTTCTGGCACCTTAGAGAGCCAGCCTTTAGCTGTGGCTCGGTGTTTTCTTGTTTCCTTTCAGGTAACCTGGAACAGGCAAATGAGGAGCTGCGAGCGGTCATCAAGAAAATCTGGAAGAAAACCAGCATGAAGCTTCTTGACCAAGTTGTCCCTCCAGCTGGTGGTCAGTGTAATCAATTTTCCACAGCATGATTGAGCTCTATGTTTGTTATTGTGGTAGCCAGGAACACAGGGCTGGTAGAACACCAGGATACCCATTCTTAGCATGAAAGCCACAAGTCAGGGCCAGCAGCCTTCCAAAGGGTGCACTGGGGCCTTCAGGCGGGATGGTCTTGGGGAAATATGAAGAGCATTTTGGCCGGGGGAAGGGGGAGAGGGGCAAACTGGTCTTCAGAGGTGGAAAGGAAATGAAGACCAAGCAGCTGGAAAGCTAAATTTCTTTCTGGCAAATGAGCTAATTAGAGACAGAATGAGAGTCAGAGAGATAGATAGACAGAGGGGGAGAGAGAAGAGGGAGAGGCGGAGACAGACAGGGAGACTGAGAGAAACAGAGAATAAAAGAGACAGGGGGAGAAAAAGAATGAGAGATAGATGGGGAAGAGAGGAGGGAGAGAAAGACAGAGAGGGGGACACAGAGAGAGAATGAGAGACATGGACGGGGAGGGTGGGAAGTGAAACAGAGACAGAACTTTCCAAAGGAGCAGCCAGGCACTTTTGTTCAGGAAGCTGAAAAATGTGTTTCTATTTGCCCTTTTGCTCTCAAGAAAGTAGACTGCTTTCAGAATTTAAAATGGTATTTTGGTAAATGTTCTCACCAAGAGCCACTGTCTTACCATTTGTAGACAGAATATCCCCTTCAGTTTAGGACATAGAGAAACAGAGCTAACTCGCACGCTTTATTTCTTGTTATTTGCCTTACAATAGCTGACCAGATCTTTTCTCATATTTATATATACATATATATTTATATTGGATAGTGTGTGTGTGTGTGTGTGTGTGTGTGTGTGTATATATATATATATGCATATAAAAGATATGCTTCCATTTTATTTCCATGGCGCACAGAGTCCGAGCTCAGTGGTTATTTTTGACCTGCTTTTTCCAGTTTTAAAGGTGCAGGGTCTGTCGCTGCAGGGCCTCCTCCTCATCAGCCTGGTAGCCATCCCAGGGAGCCCCCGTGCAGTGTTAGCCCTGGTATTTCTTGTAGCTGACCTCACTTTCAGAGTGTTGCTGGACTGGCAGCTTTGAGGAGGGTCAGGCCCAGGACCCTGGAAGCCAGACTGGCCAGACCCTCTGAAAAGGTGACCATCTCTGCCTCCTGAACACACTGGCTGGCTCTGCTCCCCTGTGTGAAGCTGGCCAGAAGCTGCCTTTGCTTTTACTCCTCAAGGTGGCCACTCATACCTGACACGGCTGCCAGCTTAGAGCTGGGGAGGGCGGCCCCCCAAAACGGGAAGGAAAGCAAAAATCGCAACCTAAAAAAACTAGATTCTTCACAGAACTGACGCTGCACATTTAAAACGACCTTCTTGGTTTTAGTTCCAACCCTTTTGCTTCCCCTGAGTGCTCGCATGGCCTCGATGAACTGCTCTCTTTAATTGTCGTAACAATGTGCTTAAGCTCTCTCTGCAGCCTCTGTTCCTCTCAAGTCTCAGTCTTTCCGAATATTCTGAAGCAATTCTGTTTTAGGGTGGTGGCATGGAATCAGTGTTATCTCTTGCCAACTTATTCCCCTACCGTGTTTTCTGCTGTACAGATGCATGCGTCAGAATGGCCAGCTGGGCCTACACACAGACATTGCTCGCAGCCTCAGGTTGGAGGAGAGGCCGCTCACCTGGCCCAGCCTCCAGGAGGACCCTTCACACTAATGTTTCCCACACATTAATAGTATCTTCTTCCACATTGAACCCATTGCAAGTGACATGAGCCTCCCTTTGATTCTCGCTTTCTTTAACTTGACGGGAGCAGAAAAGTTCATAAAATTGGTTTGCCATTTAAGCATTTCGAATTTTCTCCCTCCTGTTTGCCTAAAAGGGGCCTCGTAAGAGTTAACGCCTTATTGACCAGGTTAAGAATGCTAAAAATCTTTGTTCTGCCATGAAGGTCAAGCCCCTCCAAGAAGCTCGCATGTGAGAATGTGCCTGAGCCATGGCTAGTCACTCGCCTTCGGATTTGGCTCTGCTTTCTGAAGAGCTTTAGACACACAGAGGTGTAGAGCACAGTGTTGCTGAAGTGTCCAGACAGAAGATGGTTGCAAATACGTAGACTAATTTCCTGGAGAATAGCCCCTGTGGCCCCATAGCCCCTCAAGGATCCACGTGGTCCCTGAGATGACAGCAGATGGACTCAGGGGAGAAGCAGTGAAGAGGTCTTGAGCCAAGACGGGAGCTGCAGGACCTTGAGAAAGTGGCTCTGGGGCATCTTCCAGACAAGTTGAGACCCATCTTGCCACTCAGTGTGGCTTTCCTCTTGGCCATCTCTGGGGCAGTGTGATTCCCTCTTCTTCTGATGCTCCATGATTGTCCATAGAGAATATGTGGCCATGCAGGCTGTATGTTGAGCACCTTCTTATGGAAGGAGGGTTTTATTTGGGACTTGAAGGAAGCTAGGGAACCCAGGAGGCTGAGATGAGGGAGGAGAGAGAGAGACAGAGACAGAGACAGACATAGACATACATAGAGGACAACCAGAGAAAATGCCCAGAACCAAGAGATGGAGTACCTTGTTCATGGAACAGTAAGGAGGCTAGTGTTACTAGACTGAAGAGTAAGTGTGTATGTGGGGGCAGAGGTTTAAGGTGTAAAAAGACTGGTAAGGTGGGGAGGGTATGGCTTTGAATACCAAACAGATGATTTTATAGTTGATTTTGGAGGTAATAGGGAGCCACAAAAGTTGAATGAGTAGGGGAGTGAGGTGGTCAGACATGCACTTTAGGAGGATCACTTTAGTACCCGAGTGGAGAATGGATTGGAGTGAGAAGTGACTTAAGGCAGGGACTCCAACCAGAAGGTTACTGCAAGAATCCAGACATAACCTGTGTGACCCTAGGCAACTCACTTAACCCTGATTGCCTCACCAGAAAAAAAAAAAAAAAAAGAATCCAGACATAGAAAGATCAGGGCCTGCACAAAGTGGCTGGCAGTTTCAGAGGAGATAAGGGGGTGTGTACAAGAGATGTTATGAAGGTAGAGTCAATAAGACTTGGCAACGGATTGGATATGGGCAGTGAGATGGAAGGAATCCAGAGTGACACCAGATTTGTGAGCCTGATGACTGGGCAGATGATGGTGCTCTCACCAGTAATAGGAAAGTGAAGAAGGGAGGGTTTAGGTAAAAAGATAATGAATTCATGCTTAGATGCATTGTACTTAAGATGTTTGTGGTGATCCATCCTGAGATGCTCAGTAGGCAGATGAAGATGTGAAAGTGGAGGTTAGGAAAGAGGTAAGAATTGGATCTGAGAATCATCAGCATAGAGATAACAATTGAATCCATGAGAGATGATGAGATCACCAAGTGAAATGGTACAGAGGGAGAAAAGAGGGCCCAGGACAGAGCCCAGGGGGCACCCACAGCTAGTGGGTATGAGCTAGATGAAGATCCAGCAAAGGAGATGGAGGTGATCCAAGGAAAGAAGGGTGTCCTGAAAACCCAGAGAGAAGAAAGATCATGGACAAGAGGCTGATTAACAGTCACAAAGGTTAGAGTTGGGAAGAGGCCATCGGACTTGTCAATTAAGAGATCATTGGTGACTCTGAAGAGACCAGTTTTAGGTAAATGATGAGGTCAGAAACCAGGCTGCTGCAGAGAGTTAAGAAGAGAGGCAGTGGAGGCCCTGTGATTGTGAATGGCCTTTTAGGTTTAGCCACAAAAAGAGGAGAGAAGATGAGATGACAGCCGGGGGGATGGGCCAATAAGGAGGAAGGCGATGTGAGGATGTTTGTAGGTAGGAGGGAAGCAACCAATAAACAGGGAGAGACTAAAGATCAATGGGAAGGTGGGGGCCATAGGGGCTCATCGGTTGTATGAAAGGGGAGGGAGGATAGCGCGGCCTCCGAGTAATGAGGTGAGGAAGAAGGGAAAAGAGGAAGCTCTTGGCAGATGGCCTCAATTTCTTCAGTGAAGTTTGAGGCCAAGATCTCAGCTGAGAAGGTTAGAGGGAGAGAGATGTGAGAGGTTTGAGGAGGGGTCGGAAGGTCTGGAAAAACTGGGTCGTGAATGGGTTAGTGAATCAGAGAGATGTGAAATGGTGAGATTAGGAAGAGGGGAAGAGAATGAGTTGTTCTGGGCATTTGGGATTTAAGGTGTCTATGGGACATCCAGTTTGAGATTCAAGACTTGAGGCTGGATACAGATTTGAGAATCATCTGCTTAGTGATGGTAATTAAATCCATAGGAACTAATGAGATCTCTGAGCAAAATCGTACAGGGAGAAAAGAGCAGACCTCAGTGGTTAGGGGGAGCTACTTGGCTGAAGATCCAGCAAGAGAGACTGGGGAAGAATCGTCAGAGAGGTAGGGGGACCATAAAGAGCCTGCAGAAACCTAGGGAGAGAAGAGTTAGGGTTGGAGTGAGGAGAAGAAGCTGATGGACAGTGTCAAGGGCTGCAGGGAAGAAGACTGAGAAAAGGCCATTGGATTTGTTAATAAAGAGATCGTTGGAGATTTTGGAGAGAGCTTCAAGCCAGGCCCCTCCCACACACACACCTTTTGAACTCTCAGAGTTCCATTGAAGGCCTGCTTGTTTGGGCAGGAGCTCAAACTGTCCCTCTGCCATCTCTATCAGAGTGACCTAAGTTCTTAAACTGATTTGTAGCTGCAGGTAACATTTGGTTACACATCTCACTCCCATCCCAGTCTCAATGTTCAAAAAGCCATTTTCATGTATATTAAAACTACAGCAATAAACAAAGACCAGTCATGGAAAAGAGGAAAAATAGTTCTGGGTGGGATATTATTTGAGTTGAAGTTACCAGAAAAACTACTTATAAACTAGCTCAGATTTTATCTTAAATGAATAGTTGTTAAAATGACATAAAGTCCTACATGCAGTGAAAGGCTGTGTTTATTTCTCAATGTCACCTGAAGCAATGAAATTTGAAGCAGACAAAGTTTAGGGTTGAATAAAGCATCTACCAGCTCTCCCAAACCAGGATATATGGAG